ATTTTGTGAAGAACTGTGTTATCTCTTTTTAAGCATATTTAGCTTATTCAAATTGGGACTTCATAGAAAATGTGCAGCGGATAATCTGTTCACATTTTACTGAAGTTAATTCTTGGATCCAATGACAATATGAAGTTGTCTGTGGGCTTCATTTTTATATATTTTTCTTACAAGCATATAATTTCTATGAAGGAAAAAGTGTGTGTGCTACTGCATGGAAGTGTAGCACGAATATTTCTTCTTTGTGTCTTTGTACTCTCTACATATGGACTTATGGCCTAATTCAGTGGGGATTTGCTCAGCACAGCTCCTGAGGGATTGCCTTTCAAAAGCTTGGGAACAGCATAGGAGAAGACCCTCTCAATATGAGCCCAAGAAAAGGTGGTAGGAAAGTGAGGGAAATTTTAAGAAGACTTCTCCTGTTGACTATAATGTCCAGGGATAGGTGATCTCTCCAATAGTCTGATTTCAAAGTAACCAGGTTTTAAAGGTCAAAACCTAACACAATGAGGTCTGGAAAACAATTATAGTAGCATGGCTGAACCCATAAGTGGAAACCTCATTTCCCAGAAACCTTCTGAGTCTTTATACCCCAGCTCTGCCTTCGGTCTTGGATTAGTTTTGGTGGCTCCCTCTGCTATTGCGCAGCTTCCAGAGAGTCATCTGGTGTCCTTCCCCAACCCAGCATACAAGAGAGATTCACCACCACTTTGACTAACTGCAGTGCCTTTTGGCAACTGAAAGGTGAAAAAGGAAGAAAAATAATTTATAGGGTCTCTCTTTTCTGAGAGATGGACTAAATTCATATGTGATAAACAAAACCAGGCTTTATTTTTTTTTTAAAAATGGAAAAGATAAAGTATGTGAAATCTTACTCTAAGAAGAACATTTACAAATGTGCGTGCAGTGTTCCAGGCAGACCACAGGATGGTGCTGGCCTGAGCTTGCTGGTTAGTGAGCTCAGGCAGAATCTTCATGAAGAGACTGCTGTTAGATTATGTTTCGCTTTGCAAGAATTTAGGAATAGAGAGGTTGAGGTTGCACTGAATTCCTTACTTATGCAGAAATAATAAGCATAAGATGCAATAAGGCTTAAGTAGCACTACTCAAAAATAGTAAAAATCAAACTTCCAATGCAGCTTCCTGGCTAGAGTATTTCTAGATTTCTTGATTCCTTAGAAATAAACAGATTCCTGAAGCAAAAGCCCCCAACTGTTCTAGCTTCTTGTAGATTATGTTCTTTAATCCAGTATTTTTCAACCTTGGCAATTTTAAGATGTGTGGACCTCAACTCCCAGAACTCCCCAGCCAGCATAATTTCCCAGCCAGCATAAGTCCACACATCTTAAAGTTGCCAAGGTTGGAAAACACTGCTTTAATCAGAGGCTCAGGAGAATGAGGTTAGTTCTCTCCTTTTCATAGCTCTGGTATTAAGCTTTTTCCTTTGTTTTCAAAGGATCAAGACTTTTTAGAGGGGACTGGGAGAAATCTGACTGTGTATTATGACTCAAAGTTTACATCTCCCCTTTGTGAAGATGTAGATTCTCTATCTGAGATGAGTGAATGTCTATCTTATGTCTGGCATGACGGCCTCACAACCAGGAGTGTTTTCCCAACACCAACTGATATAGGACTAACTAAACTATGCTCCCTGTATTATGCACCAGTTTGCAACCTTGTTGCTGTATTTTGCACTAGTTGTGGTTTCTGGATATGCTGTAGAACATGTTGCAGTAGTCAGCTGGGAGTGACCAAGGGATGGGAATCTCTTCTGAGGTCTGATCATCTCAGGAATGGCTCACTAGACATAATATAGTAAGTATACTCCTCATTACCACCTGAGAATCATCTGGAATCAAGGACCAGTCCAAGACAGTGGATCTGCTCTTCAGAATGAACCTGAAGCCTAGAGTTCAGTTTCCTACTGAACAATAGGATCTCCATCTTGTCTGGACTAAAGTTCTGTAAGACCTCTTCTTGCAGGTTCATCTAGATACTAAACAGCATGGGGAATAAGGTGGAACCCTATGGGACACCCCAGGCCATCTTCTCAGGTTCTGAATAGTAATATCCTAGTAACATCCTAGTCCTCCATAAGGCATCATGGTGAATGATATCAAAAGCCACCAAGAAGTCCAGGACAACTAGTAGAGCCACATTCTCCCTCCCAGTTCCAAGGGTAGGTCATCCATTTAGGTGACTAAAGTAATTTTACATATCCTAGTTGAAAGCACAATTGAAATGGGTCCAGATAATTGGTATCCTCCAGATCTGCTGATCTATGAATGAAGCATATTCTCTAATTATAAGAACTTGTATGTTTCTAGGTAGTTGAAACTTACGCTGTTTTATATATCCCAAATTAGATCATGCAGGCTCAGTGTGTAAAAACTGAAACTGAATTCTATCGTCGCAGCCAAAGTGAGATAGTCAACGGGGAGGGACGGACCATGGGTGCGCTTTTTTGGCAACTCAATGATATCTGGCAAGGCCCTTCCTGGGCTTCTCTAGGTAAGACTAAAAATAAAAATAGTTGTGCTGAGTTAAAGTATGGGCTTTATTAGTGCCTGTCTTTCATTTTAGTCTCATTTTCTCTTAAGACACTGAAGGCAGTGTATGAGATTCCTCAACCAAATCTTACCACGTGTGTTAGTATAGACTGAAAGAGGATGAATAGACCAAGATTACTTAGTCAGCTTCATGACTAACAGCATGACTAATAGGTCTTCCCTCACCTTTTGTGTGTGTGTGTGTGTGTGTGTGTGTGTGTGTCTTTGAGCCAGTGTTGACTCCTGGTGAATGCCTGGACAAGTCCCTGCAGTTTTCCTGGCAAGATTTCAGAAGTGGTTTGCCATTGCCTCCCCCCTAGGGCTGAGAGAAAGAGGGACTGGCCCAAGGTCATCCAGCTGGCTTTGTGCCTAAGGCGGAACTAGAACTCACAGTCTCCTGGTTTCTAGCCTGATACCTTAACTGCTACACCAAACTGGCTCTCCTTCCCTCACCTAGTCTAACACAAATTGCTGAATAATTTGCTACATTTTTGTTTAAGAAAGAATTTAAAGTACCAAGCATTTTTAACGGGAAATTAAACTTAGCCTCCCTAACTGCTGGGGGTGGGAAAGGTGTGGAAGGACTTGTGCTTCTCCTCTGTATTTCTTAGGATGAGCCCCCAGAACAGCAAGTACAAATGTGCATCTCATCCAGGCAATACGTAGCTTTTTTTTCTTTTGTTGTGCAAAGAGGTCGGAGGCATGGAAGACAGAAACATTAATGAAGTCTTTGTTTTAACCGTAGCTGTTTATACAGGATGTTGTCATTGGTTTGGTTTAGACAGTTTCTTTTCTCAGGGGATGTTTAATAACAGCTGTAAAATGAAGGAGACAAGCAGCACATAAGTCTCTGAAAGAGGTTTGGGATCTTGAGGCTTTCCAGATGTTTCAGAATTGTTATACTCAGCATCCACCAGGGCAGTGCTGGCAGGACAACTGGAAGGTGTCGTTTGACAACACCTGGAGGGCCAGAAGTTATCCCCTGTGGCCCTAAGAGGCTTTTAGGAGGCCTTTTTTGGCCAACGACTTTTGTTGGACTTGAGTTGCCATAATCCCCAGCCAGCATGGGCAAAGGTAATTGCTGTGCTAATACTTACATAAGATCACAGCAGGAAGGCAGCCTGTGTCCTCAGGCTACCTCTGATCACTATTGCTAAAAATCAGTAGCAATTAGACAGAGTTAGCCATTGTAGTGTAAGCTTTAAATTAGCATTAAACATTTCAAAAACAAATTCTTTTAAAGCCTATGAAAAAGAAACCCCAAAACTAGTCTTGCCAGCATTGTGACATGATCTTTCTCAGTTTTCATCACTGGCCTGGCAATAGAGGGAATAGAAATAATCTTCCCTCCCTCCCAGCTGAAATCTTGTGGCTATAATAAAAACAAAACTAAACTGAAACAAAAGTGTTAAAATAATATATTAAATTAAAATAATGAACACTTAAAAGCCTGTTTTAAAAATGTGTGGGTGTGTTTTAAATGGCAACGGTGAGGTCAGTCGTCTCAGTTCAGAGACCAGGGATGCTACAGACAAGGCTCGACCCTGAGTCATTGCCAGGCGAGCATCTGCTTCTGTAGGCAGTGTTTCCCCGATGACCTCAGTAAATAGAGGGAGTCTTGCCTTCTCTGGTTCTCACCCAGCCTGTTTAGGAACGGGCATGTGTTAAGCTTCAAATTAAAGGCTTCTGAGTCAGCCACCTGTGTGGTTTGCATTAGCCCACTGGGTTACATCTTAGGCAAATTGCAAGCTGTATTTCCTCAGCTTCTGTCCTACATTTTAAGGTCACCTTAGCATGATCAATTCAGATCACACATTTTGGTTGAAGAAATGACTCAGTTTTTACTGACATTATACCCTAGCATTTTCATCTTCTGCTAAGCGGAAACCCAGCAGCTATTAGAGACAATCACACCTTTCTAAGGCATGATTATTATGGCTACAGAGAGAAGGAAATAAATAATGCCTTTATGGTATGGCATGATTATTTATTATATTTACAGACCAGCTTTTCTTTGGGAGCTCCAGGCAGCATGTGTGGAGGACTCTATAATTTTATTCTCACAACATCTCTGTGAGGTTGGGTTGAGAGAGGACGAATGTCCCAAGGTCTTCTATTGATATCCATAATCATGCGGGCCAACCCCATAGAGAGGAAAGAGCTTCTGTTCTGACTCTGGTAGATGGTGAAAAGGGCTTCATGGTGCTTACTTTCTAAACTAACGATCATATGATTCCCCCATCTGTTCTTTTATTGTGATCTCAGATCAATATCTGAATGTAGGTGATTGCTTGACGCATGTTAATTGCTTGAACTCTTGCAGTTTTTAGAGGAATTGTCTCATTGGTTGAGTTAGTAGGAATGAACACATGTATCACACCATACGTGATAGAATACCTATGTGGTGTGAAGGTTAAGGAGTTGGGCTGGGAGTGGGAAGACCAATGTTCAAGTCTCCACTTGGCCATATTGTTTTCTTGGGTGACTTTGGCTATGCATGCTCTCTAAGATTGGCTATCTCACTGGATGGTTGTTGTGAGGATCAGACGAGCAGAAAACCTCATCATATGCCTTAGCTCGAGTTCTCATGAGACATGGCAGGCTAGTGTAATACGCCAGATGTTCCCAAACCTTCTTGGTTCACAGCACCCTTAGTGTCTCAGTAATTTTTTTACAGTGCCGCTAGGCCAAAACTGAACTACCTCGAGCTAGTAGTTTGCATGGTATCCAACAGGTGTTAAGCATTGCTCTGCCGCCCTCGAAAATTTAAAACATCTGTGGTGTCCTTGTGAATTTGTTGTGGCACCCCAGGGTGCCCCAGCACACAGATTGGGAACTGTGGTAATAAGCTATACCTTTTGGTGAGGACTGCATATGAACTTTGCAGAGGTGGTGAGAATGCAGTGAATAGGAAGATAATATGACTAGTCAGAGTAAAATGGAATCTGGGGGATATTTCTGTTGGGGTTGTTTTTGTTTTTCAAATGTATGAAGCCTATTTAAATGCTGGTAAAGTAGTTGCATAGGGCTTTCCACTTAAAAACTGCAGAAGTGTATCACTTTCTGCCACAACTCTGTGATCAGGACAAAATTCAATAGTAAAGTCAGAGGATTTCACTTGCATTTTCTTCCTGGGATTGCACTGAGCAGCCATGCAATCATGGGAAAAAATGTAGCTACTTTAATGAGTTGCAGACATGGCCTGTGTAAGCACTGGTGTGTGTTCCAAAGATCCTTTTGCCTTCAAATCCAAAGTGCTATACAGCCCTATAAATTACACCTAAATCCTTGCTGCCTTTTATTACTGCTTTGCTGCCATTTCCAAGAGAAGCAATATCGTTGTGCAGAAAAAAGGTTGGACATGCAAATAGTTTTCATGCAAGAACTTCCCAAAGTGAATATTAATATGAGGGCTGGGTTGAACTAGCCTGAGACAATACCAAAAAAAAAAAAAAAAAAGTCCTGTGTTGAGACAGTCCATTGGTTCCTTCAGGCCAGGCTTGTCTGGTCTGATTGTAAGGTTTTCTATGATTTTGGAAGGTCTTTCTCATTGCTGCTGTCTAATCCATTAGCTGGAGATAATTAAGCCGATGGCCTTCTCTCGCAAAGCATGTGCTATATAGATAGTCTCAGTTTAAGAATGAGTTCTGTTCCCAAGATCTGTCCTTAAGTCGAATTTGTTTGTAAGCCAGAACACTATTATTGTATAATACTGTATAAGTAGTATTGTGTAATTAGCTCGAACCACTGTGTATTTAACTGGAATCATTGTGTATTTAACTCAAATTTTTCTATAGTAGACTCTTTTCTTAACTATGGCTCATCGCATTCTTAACCTGGGAACTCCCTGTATCATGGAGCCAATCCTTTTCTAACAAGGAGTTGAAGCTGCAGCCATGGAAATTATTTTGGCTGCCTGCTGTGGTTCAAGAGGTTGTCTGTAACCTAGATGAGAAGATGTAGCAACCATTCTGTCTTTGCTGATTAGAGGACAAAAATTTCATGAATTGAATTGAATTGAAATGATTTCATGGAAAAGGCTTACATTATTAGGGATGATAATTATTAGGAATGCCACGTGTGCTGTCAGGGAGATCAGCTTGCAATGTGATTATTCCCCTTGAGTTGACTTTTAGAGAGCTGCAATGCTGGTGTGAGGAGTAATTGAATCATACAAATCTTCCTTGAACATGATATTTGGTGTTATTTCTATTACTGTACATACATTCCTGCAAAAAAGCAATGCCTGTAAGGCATCCATTTCCAATCTGGTGTACCTCCCCCCCCCCAATTTTTTGTAACGGCAACTCCTAAAACTCCCAAGTAGCAACACACCTGGAGCATTCCAGGCTCTGGAAACCTTTTCTAAGGCAATGTATGTAGGGATCAGTCTTTGATCTCCTGATTGAAGAAAAGAAAGCAGGCTTGTGAAGCTGAATAGTTCCATATGGGTTCTTCTGAGAGAGTGTGGTGAATGTTTTCCCTTTTGAACACTTACTTAGAATACGGTGGCAAATGGAAGATGCTTCATTACTTTGCCAAACATTTCTTTGCTCCTTTGCTGCCTGTGGCACATGAGAAGGAAGATGTTTTCTACATTTATGGAGTCTCCGATTTTCATTCCGACTACAACCTGGCCCTCAAAGTAAGTCCCCTTTTGCTTTACATGGAAATGAGTGTTGAGGAGGATTCTGGAGTAGAGGAAAAGTAAAACTGCCAATTGATTTTAAAACATAACAGTTCATTTATATTGTTTTTAATGGATTTGTAAATGACTAAAACAAGAGTTCTGAAGGAACTGGTTCCTGAAAAACTCTGGTTTTTCAATGACTATAGTATCTTCTTAGAAGAAGCATGCGAGGGGTAGGAAAGAACTAAATATTTAACAAGGTAATTTTCTTCCGTGGTTTTGGTTTCATTCCAGAGTTTGCAGTTTGAGCCCTGAAGAAGTGCCCAAATCAATTTTATAGAAAGATTCTTCACTTTTCATGACCTTCCTTCCTTCCTTCCTTCCTTCCTTCCTTCCTTCCTAGTCAACAATTACCAGGTGCCATTATTTTTTTCTTTGTACTTGGGGAAAATAAAATGGTAGTAACAGAATTTTGCTTTGAGGCAAAACCACCAGCAAAATCCTCAGCTCTAAAAAGAAAAACCATTTTTAAGGAGGCAAGCGAGTGGAAAAACTCACAAGAAAACCCTTCCTACTTTGATTGGGTTTCTGTGGTTTTGCTTGATGTCATAGCGGTGGCAACTCATAGCTGACCTTAACTGCTCTCAGAAAATGTTACACAGAGTTGGGCCTGGTAATTATGTGCATGGGAGGCTAACAGGCTATCTCAGGGCTGGAGGCTAGTCTGCAAAATAAAAAATATTGTTGCCAAGAAAAGAAAAGATGTGGGATGTGTTGATTGAGTCACCAGGAATCAAATTTGACAAGCTTGAAGGAGACTAGATATTTGGGGGGGGGGGGGGGGCTAGTAGCTCAGCTTTTTAGTTTACTCAAAGCCCAGAAATGAAATAAGAGGGCATTTGGTCCAGTTTGTAAACTGTTATTAGATTTAAGTATTTTAAAAGTAGAGCTGTGAATATTGCAAGGGAAGGTGCAAGAGAGGAATATGCAAAATGTTCTGTGTCCAACCCATTCTGTGCATGTTACAGTTATTTTGGAGTGGTCTGTGGTTACACTGAAAAAGGTGTATTTTAGATATTTTATAACATAATGGGATATTTTACTCCTGATATGCTCTGAAATGCAGTTGCTCTGATATTTTTTAGGGGGTGGGGGAGAAAAAAGAGTGGGAAAGCCTGAGCAATTTCCTTGGCAGCAGCTGGTGGAGTCATCAGTGGTGGCAACACCGTTGGTTTCTAGGAGGTGGGAAAGCTGCTGGGACAGGTAGGGGACAAGTGGGCTGGTAGGAAGTACCACACTGGGACATTGGTGGCTGGGAGGGAGGGGAAGTAGGATACTGGGGAGATAAGGGGATGGGCAGGCTGATGGGATATGCTTTCTGTAGAGGCTTTTGTTTCTCACTAAGCCACAGTCAGTCCAACTTCCAGAACACAGTGGCTTGTTTCAGGTGTGAAACAAAATATATTTTCCATTGCATGTACAGCCGTAATGCAAGATGAGATACAACATGATAGCATTAATGAAAGTATGATCCTACCTTTTAAAGGAATTTATAGAAAGGTTTGAGTACCTGGATTTGATTAATGGAAAGCAGTAATTCATAATCACTTTTTTCTGTCTTGATCTCTCTTATGGGCCCCATAGATAATTTTGTATGATTGGAGCAGGATGGAGCCAGCGTGTACTTTGGTGAAGGACAATGTGATTGTTAAGGCAGGAAGTGCAGTTCCCATTTATAAGGAGCCCATCAATGCTCTTTTGAAAAGATGTGGAAATTGTACTAGGCAAAGCTGCATCATCACCTTTTACCTCGAGGCTGAAGATGAAGTCTCCAGTCCAATTAATTATCACTTCCTGTCTTCATTGAAGAATGCAAAAGGATTAAAGAACCCACACATTCATGTAAGTACCATTTCCAGCAATACTTTTGCCCTCAGCCAAATAGGGCGTTTATTATGTGTATGTGTTGTTTTGAGAATCATAAAAGCTAGAGGAAATGCCCTGCTTGGTTGTTTTCCTGAAAATATGAATAAACTTCGATAGGGGGCATACAGATCAGCCTCCTAAGTTTCTTTATCATTTCTAGCATCTTTCTGGTCTTTATGAAGATATGCTTTCACAAGATAGAGGTGATGGTAATGAATGTGATTTATTGACCCGCATAACTTCTTTCTCTTCTCCTGGTTTGGAGAAGCAGAATTAATTACAAGATGCCAAGTTACCTAATTTGCATAATTTATAGAGATCTCAGTAAACTCTTTGCTAGTTTAGATTTTGTTTCTGAAAGTAGAAGATTACACACAGAGATACACACACACACAGCTTTTCACCTAGTTTTGGATTGTTTTCCTCCCTGGAAAGATATTATACCTTTTCAAGCAAAATGTTCTGTTTTTGAAACGATATGATCATAAATATAAGTGCAAAATTGCAAGCGTCGGAAACTACCTGGGTTTGGAGTGGTAGAAGTAACACAATCATTAATCATGTATATATTTCTGTAATATAGCTTCTGCCACCAATACTCTTCCATTATTTTAGTGGTCCCTTGATAATGCAGATATACTTGATGGGGAGAAATTGACTAAATCAAACACACTGGAATCTGGTCATTGGATCATATTCCACTGGGAGGCCAATGCTTTGTATATATAGGTTTCATATGTTAGAGCTGCGTTTCCTGACTTAAACAGGTTGTAGGAGGACTTGGTAAAATATTTATCTTAAGCATCTAAACAACATTGCCATTAATAGGGTAAAGGGTTAAAATTAAGGATACATCTAGGTTCATTTTTTTGCCAGGAAATCTTGAGAATTATGTATTTTGGAATTGGGAAGAGAGAGTTTCCTGTATTTTCACTAATTCAGACCTACAATTTCGGGAATTTTGGGGTGGGGTGGGGGAATTTTGATCAATAAATCCTAAAGCATTGTTTATTGTAAATGAAATTTTATAATTAGGATGTTCTTTATACCCTTTATATGCAATTCATTTTTTCTGCAAACTACAGTAGTCTGTTGTAAAGGTGACGAAGTGTTAAAGAGATCTGTGTGTAGTACAAGTTCTCTAGAATTCTGAATAAATAACGAGAACATAATGAAACAATACAGTAATTTAAATTTGTCTGCCCCTTTCAGGCTTCTGTTTCTCAAGAAGGAGATCATTTTCAGCTTGTCCTGGAAGCCACAGCCATTGCTCCTTTTGTTTGGTTGGATGTTGGGAACATCCCAGGAAGGTTCAGTGACAATGGCTTTCTTCTCACAGAGAAGCAGAAACTCATATTCTTTTACCCTTGGGAGACCACTAGCGTCAAGGAGCTGGAGAAGTCACTCAGCTTAATATCGCTGACAGATATTTCCTGAGGAAAACTCTGCAAGAATGGCAAGGAAGGCTATTGGAAACAGGAAGCTTTTATAGGAATGTAGCTCTACATCTAGAGATGCATAAAATGGAACTATTGGACATTATTCTCATGCCAGCTTCCTACACATGTGGCATTGCTTAGTTATGTGGAGTGAAGCCAAGTGCAGTTCCGACTCGGTTTAGAGTACTTTAAATAAGTCAGACCAGCACACATCCTGAGAGAGGTCTGAGGACAGTAAAATATGTAATGCTCTGAATCCCCCTGGTGCCATTTTTCTGTATTCCAGAACCAGAGTTTGCATGTACAATGGAAAAATATATTGCAAAAGACTAGAGATCTGTGTGGACATCTAGGCATTGCTCCCCTTACAGGAGTTACCAGAGGGAGCTTTTCTTCTGCTTCTTGTGCTGGGGCATCTTAGGTACTATTTTTAAAATGTTACATGGGCATCCATGACATGTAATTAGAACACTGCTCTCGGTGACAGGTAAATTTTAGTGTAGAAGGATAATACTGCTGGTGAACACATAGGAAGTTTGACCAGACTGGTGGCTTATAGATTGGACCTTCTATGTCCACTGTTAAAGAGGACAGGTAAGAGATAACAGTATGAGCACCTCTGGCAATAGTCTTTTCCTTTTCCATTAGGAGTTGCAACCAGCAACTCATTTGTAAGAAAGGCTTTTAAGCTGAGAGCTGTGACCTTCAGCTGAACTTAAATTGTGGCACCTGAAGTAAGCAGTAACTGAATAGAAGATAGAGGGCTCAGCTTCTTGCTGACCCATTTAAAGCTAGTTTTTCCACCCTCCAAGATGTTTGAGTTTGTGAAAATGGTTGAATTTCTTTCCCGTTTTTTCTATCACTCAAAAATTATCCACTTGTCTACCTCAGAAGTAGTAACAGGTATCAATTTCTAGCAATTATAAACATTTAATCTGTTTAAACTTGCTCTGCATGCTTTATTATCAAATGATTGTGAGAAGCTTTCTAGCCATATTTCCCATATAGAATATAAATAATGCTGCAAATCATCAGTTTTGCTTTTTATTATAAAAGTAAAATATAAAACAAGCTTTTTTTAAAAAAAGCAATTTTTTAGTGGCAATTCATCTAAATTGAAATATTTACAGTAGAAAAAGGGTAAAACAATGGGAAACAGTTTGAAGTTTGAATGATAGACACCAAATGAAGTTTTAAATACATTTACATTCTGTTTTGCAATTAAGTATCCTGATTACTGTTTGTGTTTTGATTTTGTGCTTCACAGCTTTGGACCACAGTTAATGTCTATTATATAACTTTCATTGAGCATCAAGAGGGTTGTTAATTTTCTTTACAGATGATCCTCTTAGGAAAAAATAAATGCCATTCAATCCTTCTCCTGAGTCTCCCACTTTACTGGGATCTGATCTGAGTTTGTTGAAAGGTCCAGTAGATAAACATTTCAAAGAGCTTTTTCTTCTAGTGCACTTTGGATTGTTAACAGCTCCTTTTTCACTGCAAAGAATTTTCATAGCAATACCATATTTTTAAGTTACTTCAATTTTGCCTTGTAACGAGTTGTCCTGTACATAGCCTGAAGCCATTTTTTTAAGGTTTACTGGTGTCTTGTTGGTAAAAGATTCAGAATATGTAAAGCTAAGTTTGTGAAGAGAGATCTCTACTCCACTGTCACAAATGCTTTCAGCATCCTGGAATCTGAAATTACATCTTTCATCTGGTGAAAGAAAAAGGAAAGTTTGAAAAATGCTAATAAGACAAAACACTTTACAGAATTACACAGTACACACAAATCATTACAGGAAATAATAGAACCCCTTTTTTTCCTAGTCCAGTCAAGATTCCTTGCAGCTCAGGGCAGGAATTTTCAATGTATTGCCTTCTAATTATTTGCAGCGATTTCATAGTTTAGTAACAAAGGACATTTTTTGGATGGCCAATGGCTTGGATTAAGAGGCCTGATTAAGAGGCCTTTGGTGATGAAACGGGGAAGTTGGGGTTATCTGGGAATATAAACAATGCAAGAAATGCTGGGCAAGTTGAATTAGCTTTATGATATAAGAGGTGGTGTATTCTCTGAAGATTCTCCTAGGACTGCTTTCACACCAACAGTTGCCCTCTATTTTTGTAAATTGGGTTTCAAGTATTGAAGGCTGCCCCAATTTCAGTGGAACTGAAACTGCCCCATGTTTTATAAAGTTTTACCACCCTCTGGTTCAATCTGAACCCACTACTTCCATCTTCAGGAATGTAGCAATGTGTTTTAATTGCTTGTAATGCATTTTAAATGCCACTCCTGCTTCTAAGCAGATGTGACAGAAAAGTTGGTAAGAACCTGATAAATGATACATCCAAACATACAACCTGTACAATTAACTGTGGAACCATAACCAGGATTATTCAAAAGCAAATCCTGCTGAATTTAAGGAGGACTTGCTTCCCAATACTTAAGAATATAATGATAAATATATTTTTAAAGTAATACACATGTAAGGGTCATTTAGCAAACCCCCAAAATATTATTTTACTTTTGCATCCTGTGTTCATAAAAACTCACAGCAGCATCTCATCCAGAAACTAATCAAAACCAAACACGCTTAGCTTCAGTAAGATCAACAGCATTACTATATTTACTGAAAATGATTTGATCCTCTAGAATGATTCCACGCCCCCCAAAAGAAATATGACATTGAACCAAAAAAAAAACCCAACTTATTTGCTTTCCTTGCCACAGATCATCAGAAAATCTAAGATGACTTGTGCATATTAAAATATAAATTATAAGAAAAACACCCAGTCTTTCTAGTAAACATAGTTATGTGTCTGCCTTGATTTGTGACATTTCCATTCTGTAACCATTAAACATTGAGGACTGAATGATGTCTGAAGCCTATCACAGTTAAAAGTACCTAGTGGGGTTAACGCCCCAATTTGGATGCCTGGTGTAAGAATTGTGTGGATCTCCATATCCTGCCCTTTCTCTAAACTGCTCAAGGTAGAATTTTTGGCACAAATCCTGCATCATCACTTTGATCTTATTGCTGCCTTTGCCACAAGAAACTAATTCATCTGCAAAATGTTACTCTAGAGCAGTGTTTCTCAACCTTGGCAACTGGGGAATTCTGGGAGTTCACACATCTTCCAGTTGCCAAGGTCTACTGCTCTAGAGGTCTGGACTGACATAATTACCTGCTTGTGCTGTCCTGGGAGAAGGTAAGTCACATAATGGAAGCCCGACATTTTTGGTTTTCTCCTGGCTAGACTGGCTTGATGAAATAGTTGTTTTCTCAATTATTTCAGCAGCTTCTGGATAATCCATTTCTCTCAGGGCATCAACCAACTCTTTTACTGTTCCACCAGAAACCTACCAAGAGGGAAACAAAGGTGAATTAGTTTGGCAGCCTTTTTCCCCCAAAACCCTAATGATTAGATTTTTATGCAACTATATCTGGTGGCAGACCTATTTTTATATTTTAGAATTGTACTTGCCACTCCAAAAAATATCCAACACCTATTAAGAGACAGTTGAGTGAATTTTTTAAATCCTGCAATCTTATTACCATTTGAGAAAACCATGTAATTCTCCCTTTTCTCCATTGCAAATATGCATTTACATAGTAAAATAGAATTTAAAAAATGTTACATTGGGGGTGGGAAGAAAACATTTCATTTTATTATTATAATAACAGTCTGGCATGGATAACAGGATGGATAAAATAACCAAATAGTTGAAAATCAATCACAGAAAGAGCCGGCCTATCTCCTGGACTTCATAGGTATTTATGGTATAAGAAACAAGAAAAATTTGAATGGACATATTATATGACAAAGTTTGATAAAAAATATGGAATCTTTTAGAAGTCTGGTCATCTTCACCATTAGCTTCACCTTCAAATGCCTTTTATTCTAGGCACAACTATAGTAAGAAAGATTTAATCACATATGCAATATAGCGCATCCAGAAACAGACTAAAGAGAGCAAGAACTGCTTAGTGAAGGTAGGAATTTACTATGGCTGATGTATTTACAAATTGCTGGAAGAATAAACAATGATCTCAAGAATCTCAAGAAAATATATATATATATTTTCATTCATTCATCTTGGTTTTTGTGTGTTTCAAATTCTTTGTGTGGCAAAGTCCTTCCTGAGATCACTGTTTATATATGTGTATGTATGTATGTTGGTTTTATATATATAGTTTTAATATAACTTGGTTATATATATATATATATAGTTATTGAAATATGACCCAAAGATCGAACAAATTAAAATTGCATGATAAAGTGGACACAAAACTTCAAAGAAATAATCACAGTACAACAATGGGAAGAGCAATAGAAAAATCAATAAATACACTCCAAGCTGTAAGAGAAAATTGGTATAAAATGTTTTACAGATGATATATAACTAAGTAACTACCAAGATAGACAAATCATATAACAGTAAATGCTGGAAATCCCATAACAAAGAAGGAACATGCTGTCATATGAGGTGGCTATGTAAAAAAAAAACCTCAAAAGCACTAGAAGGAAATATATCAAAATATTCAGAAAATCCTAAAAATAAAATTTGAACTGAATCACAAAATAATTTTACTAGGTGTAATTCTGGAAAACAAATGAAAAATTTAAAATTTTCTAAGATATACTGTATGCTGACAGCTGCAAGAACAAATCTGGCATGCTGGAAAAGAGGAAGCTTGCTGGCAACATTGGATCGGGAGACCAAAATTGGAGAATACGCAGCAATGGCAAAATTGACTGTATATATCCATAATAGAAATCTAACCACATTTAAGCAATAATGGGTTCAATATGGTTTTTACAAATAAAGTTATGAGACTAATGAAAAATAATAGATGAAAAGATTCAAATAGATACTAGTAATAATCTTTAAAGTTTAATATAAAGCACCTGTATTTAGCTTGAGGTCTGAGGTTGGGGAAATAAACAGAAGGGAAGGGGAGAATGTCACTAGAAAGCTTTCGCTTAATGCTTTTATTTATGTTTTGTTTTATTCTGAGTTCTTTTTGAGTTATACAACCATTACTATTCAGTGTAGATTTTTCTTTCCTTTGCATTTTATTATTCTAACAATTAAAAAAAAATCTTTAAAAAATTCAATAATCAGTATGCAATCTATTACTGCATCATCTTAATGGAGGGTTAGGTCCAGATTTAGTTACATGCAGTTGGATGCAGGAAGCAGAATTCTCACCCAATCCTCCCAAAGAGAGATCTAGCCAGCCTTTCAAAAATGCTGCACAAAGAATGTGAGCCATGGTGAATGCAGTAAGTTATACAGGTGGTCCTTGGGTTACAACCACTTGTTCAGTAACTGTAATGGCACTGAATAAGGGGGACTTACAACGAGTCCTTGGAGTTCTGGCTGTTGCAGTGTCCTCGCAGTCACATGATCACGATTTCCGACGTTCCAGTCAATGGGGAAGCCAGCAGGAAGTCGGAAGTTGTGGTCACGTGAGGTCCTTGCTTAATGACCTACAAGGTGTTTGCTTAATAACAGCAACCGGGACTGCCGGAATTGCCATCCCTAAGTGATGTTGCATTTACAACCACGTCACTTAGCAATGGCAATTCCAGTCCCAATTGCCGTTGTAACCTGAGGACGACCTGTAGTGTGAAAGACAGGCATTACAGAATACAGAGAGTTTCTGAGCATGTGAGAAGTTCTGTAAGTAACAAGATGAAAGTTAAAGTTACAAGATTGTTTAAACACCATCTTGCCAAAGAAGGTTTTCACCATAATAAAGCAGTTAAGAGAATTACCTCATAATTATCCAGTAGAGTTTTTGATGGAGAAGGGCTCAACCGAAAGGCATTGTTTAGTATCCCTAGGCCTAGCTTTTGTGCCAACATGGACCAATTTTTATTCAGATCAGGAACTTCAAGCAATTTGTACAGCTCTAACTTGACATCCTCATTTAGGTCTTTCATATTGCCTAGAAAAGAGAAAAAAAACAACTTGAGAGCCATAATTATGGATTCCATAAACTTTAAACTATGTTCACTTCCTTCAAATTCTCAAGGAGCAGCATGCACTTATTTAAAGTAGCATGAAATTCACTGTTGACTACATTTAGAAGACTGAAACCCTTTTATATGTATCAAGACATGTCACACAGGTATTTTTAATTGGGATAAAAAGAGACCAATCTCCACTGACCTCCCTGCAAAATAATACCTACTAAAGAAGGAAAGACTATGTGAGTATCAGGGTTTATTTTCTTGCTTAAATATATTCTTACCTTGAATCAGTAGATCCTCAGAAGCTGCCTTTGACTTACAGAGTTTGCTATTCAAGATGTCATACACCTGTCAGAACGGAAAAAAAAACTAGCTAGAGTTGAAAAAGTATTGATTTTATTCTATAAGTTTTGGTTTTCATTTAAGCCTGTCATTTATACTACTCAGTTGCCAAGTTTAGACACAGAGCCAAATCACAGCTTGCTGTGTCAAAGTGAGATTCAAGTTCTTATGTTCTCTCCTTCACTAGTACAACTGCAGAGAGAAAACAGGAAAACTTTCTCCATTTTTGAATCAAATGTGGTTTTAATTAATAATGAAAAATAACCCTATGATTTAAACTAATTCTTTTTAAGAGCAAGAATCACACATCTTGTTTATTAATCATAGTTTAATTACAACTTGTCTTTTCAAAGGTAAGAAAAATATGGCTGGTTTAAAGCATACACTTTTATTCCTGAATTGTTTGTTGTGGTTTCAAGAGAAAAGATAAATAACAGACCATGACTGGCCATATTCCCTCCCATAGTGCTAAGCTATGGTTTAGCATTAAAATATTTTGTTACAAAATATTTAATCTACTTTGCATTTGATAGAGTTAATCTACCTTATAATGTCCAAATTACAACTACTTTTCAAAAACAGTATCTGGATTTTAATTTTTGTCCTCAATGGTCTAAAAAACTCCTCCTCCTCTGGTGCCTTCAAGTCACTGTTGACTCCTGGCAATTGCCTAGACTAATCCCTGCAAGGAATCTTTTCTTGGCAAGATTTTAGAAGTGTTTTGCCAATGCTTGCTTCCTAGGGCTGAGAGAGAAGGACTGGCCCAAGGTCATCCAGATGGCTTTGTGTCCAAGGTGAGACTAGAACTCAGTCTCCCAGTTTCTAGCCCAGTACCTTAACCACTACCCCAAACTGTCTCTCCTAAAAATTTTTAGTCACCTTTTATATCTAGCCAATACAAAAACCAATGTAAGCTTTGCTTTAAGAAAGTTTGCTATTTAAGGCAATTCCACTTAACAGTGTGTTTTGGAGAATTAACAGAATTTTAGAAAATATGTCTGTTTCCTAAGAACACCTAGAAACAATTTAGAATTGGGAGCATCACAGGGAATTAAAATGCCTACCTCAACTTGGCCACAGGGCACAGGTAAGAATACTGTTCTCAAATAATTTTCCTTGAGCCCCTTGATTGAAATTCACATTATACCCCCCAAACCTTCAGCTCTTAGTTATACAAACATTGCTAATATCTCCTGCAATTAAACCACAATTTTTAAATATTTTTTTCATAAAATAAAAACTAAGCTCATGCATGTCAATTTTCAAAGCAAAATCAAATAACTTATGGTGTTAGCACTGGCTGCATTCTTATCAAAATAGAAACTAAGTCACTTATAAGAGTTTTTTTTCACCATCACTGTTATTGTGTACATTGAGAATGGGAAATCTGTGGCCCTTCAAATGTTGCTGAACTACAACTCTCCACATCCTTCAGCACTGACTATATTAGAAAGCCAGAGGTTTCCAATTTTTGCAAAAGGGAGAATATCTGATTCATATGCTTAAAATGATCCTAAATGAAATAAACAAAACGTGGGCTTTTGAAACAAGTTGTCAATGATCGCTTGCCTCCCAGCTCGTCGCCATATCCAGAGGTGTTGTCCCAGGTATAATTCCTTCACCATCTTTCATATCTTCTTCTTCAAACAATGGCTCAAAGTTTTCAATGTGGGGATCTGCACCTTTATTAGTGATTAAAGAATATGGAAGAAACATCATAAACTTCCTTTAGCATTTTTACTTCAGTAGTTTAGTTTAATACGTAGGTAATTCGAAGTTCAAGGAGCTTAGGTATCTTTGGCATTGCTTAATTTTATCCCAGTCTCCCAATTTTGGAACAAAATTAGCACATTGTCTGGGTTTGTATGTGTTCTCCACTGTATATTAGCAAGCTTCCCCCCCCCCCCAAAATCATTGGAGTGATTCCATATAAAGGAAAAAAGAGCTCAACAGTTATTATTTCATAGTTTGTATTCTTGAGTGCTGTTGAAGTCCAAACCTCGGGCAGACTTCTTGTTAAATGGCACTCTTTGTTAATTATGTCTTTTAAGTGTTAGTCCCCTAAATGCTTTGAGTGCCAGACATCAGTTCTTGGAATGATTATGCTGAAGGCATGAGAAATTCCACTGGAGAACAAGTATGAATACATCTAAATGTGCACCATGGTCTACAACATTAAAATAATTTTGATAACAATGCTTTACCTCCCAAAAGAAAAGAAAAGAATCTTCAGAGGAAAAAAAAGGTCTCCTGTTGTTCTGACTTTCTCTATATTCATCCTCTTTTCTTCAAGTTCTGTTTAGGAATATCTCTGGCCCTGCCTCCACTTGCAATTTAACGCAACACAAACAAGCCTTGCCCACACCAATTTTCCTCTGGCACAAATTTGCCCTCAATTCATCCTGAGCCCATGAATGCAACAGCCTTATGTTATTCATGAGGAGTATGAGCTTTAAAGAAGCATTTTCCTTCTTAAGCTGATAGTATCCCATTGTGGGTTCAAGGTATAATTATAATCTTGGAGGCAAGCTCTGTTGAGGTATGTTTTGGGACTATTGGGAGCAGCATATATACTCTTCTCCTCTTTTCGCTAACCAGGCTTGATTGCAGTCATTTCTCTGTGGTGCTTTCTCCACTAGCAGCCTGTTTCCCGAATCCCTTTCATACCTACCCCCTTCCTATTTTTACATCCACTTCTCTCAAACGTCCAAGAAGATTGAGGAGAGAAGAACAGAGCTCCGTTATTTTATGTGGGGAAGAAGCAGGATTGTATTAATGCTAGTCCTGTTTAATGATACTCTAAAATGTCCAGACCTCCAATATTTTATTTGGAGAAGGAAGGAAATATTCTTGTTCTATTTTGCTTTAATGGTATTCTGAAACATATCTTTATCTTTAGAACAATTGCCTGCTTTTCTTCATTGGCGTGTCCAGAAAATGAGGGGTGCTGGATTGGGCTTTTTTGCCAGTTTTCCATATTTGTCAGTTTCAAACACTTCCCAGCAGCTATCAGTTTCTGTTCTCTTGTTCTACAGGATCTATCTAGTTGCACATTCAATGCAGAAGATGCCTTCTTTCTCTTTGGGGCTATTTCTGCTCTAGTGCAAAGGACATGCTTGTTCATTTCACATTGTCGTAACTTGGGAGATGCCCAAATAATGTGTGCTAAGAGGGGCAGACTAATTAGCCTAGAGAAAGATAGGCAGAGTCCCAAAGTGAGACATGACCTGATTCTTGCTTCAGTGCCTTGACTGATGTACATTGTCTCATTGGGTTGTGATGTGCTAAAGAGGAAAACCTCCAATTTGCCTATAATGTATGACACACTCTTACATAAGGACAGCGCCATTTGGCAGTGAGTGGGAATAAATGAAACAGAGGCAGGATAAAGATTGGCAATGGGAGCAGCAAATGTTATGCTGGTGTTGTTTTGTGCCCGCTCAAGGATGGGTGGATAGCACTTTAAGTCAGTAGTGGACTTCTCTCTTTAAAGACTTAATACTATGTTACAACAAAGCATATGGTTCTTTAAAAAGGAAATTTAGCAAAAGCTGACACCAATGTTGAGTCAGTAAGGGGAGCTGAGGCATTAACTTCTGTATCTGAGGGCACTGGACTACTGAAGAGGGAACTGGCCAGGATCACACAAGGCTTGCCATCCAACACCTTGTCAGCCTCTGATGCTTAGGGAAACTACCCCAATCTGCCTAATGACATAGTTAACTCTGGATTAAGATTTTCAATGAGAGAGTGGCTAAAAGCACAGAAGAAAGTGAATAAGAAGAAATGATGATGCAGCTGAAGAAAGGGTGTGGAGTAGATAAGGGACCAAGAAGAGGAAGATAATGAAAAAGCGATTAAGAGGAAAAAAGGAGAAGCATTTTAAATAGTGAATTGTTTAATAATACCAGGCAGGAACTCTGCCACTGCTGCATTACAGTGATGTAAAGCATAAGATTGCATGGGTGTGTATGTGTGAGTACTAGAAAAACAATGTCATTTTTTTGGCTGCAGTTTCTAGTTATATAATTTTTTCAGCTAGGACTTTGGGAGTGAATCATGATATAGTCATTGTAGATTGACTACTTCCTTACCTGCTGCTTTGAGAAGAGCTGCCAATTTTGCAGATCCCCTTCCAGCTGCTATATGAAGTGGAGTGGTTCCATCATAAGTAATGCTGTCAACAAATGCATCTCCCTGGTTTTTTTTTTTAAAAAAAGAAATGCTGTTTTGGCTTGTGGCCAGCTTGAAAGCAAAATCTACAGAATATATAGTAAACTGGCCTCAGCTCACAACTTTATACCTTTTTTATAATGCATGCACTTTAAAATATAATTAAAATAACCATAATGTCCCAAGGCTATCAAATCAATATATAACACATATAAATATATATATATA